GGTCTATAATTAAGTGAACATGCATCAAAACTTTAATTGAGTATCGTTATTCTGAATCAATATTTATTATAGTGACCTAGTTTTACCTGCACTGGATCCTTAACAGTAATGGGGAGCATTTCTATTTTAAAGCATCTCAATATGTTGGTGTCTTGGTTGATTTCTGCTATAGCTCTTTTCACTGCAGTGAGGGTTAGCCTATCACAGTCTCCTTCTTCATCCCATTGGTTGAGACAGGGAAAGAATCCAACGAAACGAAGAGGATATCTTGTGTCTATGCTACAGTTAAGGTAGGAGCTCTGGGTCCTTGCCACATTGAAGAAGAGAAGGAGAAGCAGTTGCTGCCAAAACATTGATGCAGACATTGCTAATACGCATGTCACGTGATTAGGCGTAGCACTATAAATTTATCCACGTGCTAAAACGTGTTCACACATGCTACCATATGCAGTAGCATAGGCTGATTTGGCTATATCAAATGTAACCATCAGATTAAATTTTAATCATTTATTATTACTATGAGCAACAAAACAGTAAAAAATAGTATTTTTTAAGTTTCAAAAGTGACAGTCGGAATTAAATTACTTGAAGAATTCAACTGTTTAATGGGGCGGCTAGCATCCATCTGAAATGATTTTGTAAATAAACTATCCTGAATTTCATATAATTACTAACCTTTTGCAGTTGTCGTTTCAGCATAAAGATTTCATCATGTAAGTCATTAAACTTCTTTCTTATGGTGGATTTTCTATTCACTGGTTTTACTTTTCTGTCTCTACATAGCAGGATGGTCTATAATTGAAGAGTCTGCATATTACAAGTTTTATTAACTGTGTCATACCTTAGATCCATACAAGACAGCCAAAATGAATGAATTATAAGCCAATATGAATGCCACAGTATAAGGTATCTGGTCTCTAATTGAAAAAGGTTCAGTGTAGCCATTAGACATCACATAAGCAATAGCAAAATAAACAATAAATAGCAATAAAGGGATGGTCCCTGCGAGAATAGCCAGTTCTCCCTCTTTCTTAAAATGCCATGTTATAAGACAGTTGAAAGATCCAACGAAAATGATTATGACTAAGAGTAAGATGAAGTAAAATGGAATCACTGTTTGCCATCCTAATTTTAGTGATAGAATGCAATGATATTCTATGCGTGATGTTTCTATGTTATCAGGCTAAACAAGAGAGTAGTTGTATACTTTTTATTATAAAATAAATAACTCACAAAGCCAGGACAATGGTAGTTTTTAAAAACAACTTTGTTCTCTTCTAAAGGTTTTATTAGTTGAATTGCTATCAAAGCTACAATGGCTGGAGCAGTGATGACACTTAGTCCAAAAAATAGTTTACCATTTGATAGATTATTCTATAGAAGAAAATAATTATAAAATTTTAAAAGAATAGTATCACTCTATTTTTCTGTGATGGGTTGTGAAATATTTGGAAAATTCTCCAGTTTTTCATTAATATGGTAGAGTTGATCAGTAACTGTGAGAGCCAGAATGATGACACTGTCACCTATCAATACATTAGTCAATCAAAAAATGAAATTTATTTCAGTACAATACTTACATTGCATATTGGCCTTAGTTTTCCATTACCAGTCAGGCCTATGTAATAATTAACAAGAAACAAGTAACCATTAGCATATCCCATTGTACAGCCAAATGTAATGACAGCATTTAGAATGGGTGATGACCCTTTAAAATATCTATTGAAACAGTAATTTCAATTAATTGTTGCAACCAGTATACACTATGAAGATATTTCTTACTTGTTATCTTTCAATTGATAATTAAAAATTTGTAGGAGTATACTGATCACAACTCCTATACTTAAGAGTACTGCTATAGAAATGTAAGATCCTATTAAGCTGCTATCAAAAGGCTGCCTACAAGTGCATGTGCCATTAGGACACAATCCATCCATTGGTTGATTACCTACATTATGGTACATGTACATACATGCATATATACAGTCAAATTTGTATTCAACTTGTCATACCTTTCCATGTCACATTACAGCAAAACTCAGTGTCACATTCCTGCAAGTTAGTACTGTTAGTTGAGTCATAATAGCCTATGATGCACTCTTTTCCACCTAAAGGAAATACCTTAAATCAGGAAATTTATGTAGTAAAAAATTTTTGTGTTTTGTAATGATGCTGTGATTTAATTTTTACTAAGCAATATTAGGTCATATGTAGTCTTGCATAGCCAGCCCCTCCCTCAACGGGAGGGTCTGGTCGAATGAGTGTAGATCTTTCATTCTACTTCACCCCAAAACAGGGTGAACTGGACAGATGTGGTTTTAGTGGGTGTTACCTTAATCCTCGTGGACGTGGTACATCAGATGCTCTTATTCAAGCTAAAAAACTCTGGCATTAACGCAAAGAAAAGAAGCAGAACAGAAGCTGTTTAGCTGTCCAGATAAAAATTGTACTCTGCTCTCTCCAACAATCTTGCCAAAAAACAGATGGCAGATATGTAACCATGTGTTGCATAAAGTTTGCGGTTGTGAACAAACATATATAGACTTATTTAATTAATCACGAAGAATGAGTGATGTACACTCATTCGACCAGACCCTCCCATTGAGGGAGGGGCTGGCTACACAAAACTAGGTCATATGTATCACTGAATGTAGCATGTAATTATATGCATGATCTAATTTTTTTTTTTTTTTTTTTTTTTTTTTGCAAAATTTTGATCCGGTAAAATTAAAATAACAGTAAAGATTTCCAGTATATACTAGTAGTTATGTGCACTATAATTGGACTCGCCACGCTTGCGTAGGCGGGTACTAAGCAGTTGGGTTGTCATTACCATAGATAATAGAGTAAATGAAAGGGATTGGAAACGGAAGCGTGGGCGTGGGCAAACCTCCATTCATTTGTATTGTTGCTAAGTAAACAGAGGAGGGTTGGGATTTTTTGACCGATTTTGGAGTAAAAAACTTGGATTTTCTTGCTTTATTCTTGAATAACTCCAAGAGAATACAATTTATGCAAACAAAACTCACACACAATACTAACCAGTGTTTATGCTTTTTATTAATATTTTTTGTTCAGTAAATCAATGCATGTGTTAGTAGCCGCGTCACTCTTTAACTAGAAATACCATCTTTTCCCCCTCTGAGAGACTCATTTTGTTCTTGAGCTACGAATAAGTATAACCATTTTAAAGAGCTTGAAATCTCCTATGGAATGAGCTAACTTGCATATTGATACAACGAAGCTTGAGTGTTTTACGAACGATAAAGTGTTTCAAAAACAGGCGACTTTGTGTACCTCTAACTGGTCGCAAAATCGCTTTTTGGAGATAAAAACCTTGCTACAGGTAGCTCTAAAAATTCTATGTGGAATAGGCTATATATCAAAAGCAAGCGCAATCCTGGAACAGCACAAATTTCCTTCGAAATCCTGCCAGAGCAACTTCACCAATGGAGGAGATAGGAAATCAATCAAAACACTGATGGTTGTCACGTGGTAACCCAACCCGCATTTCCTGTTGCTACGCCCCGTTTCCAATCCCTTTCATTTACTCTATTATCTATGTCATTACCCGAGACCGCGTAGGCGTTGTCGAGGGTAAAGCAGTCGT